TGTGAGTCCTTTTACAATGTAAGCTTCGTTAAGGACTTATTTAGACTATCACTTCTTCCTTTTTGAAGAAAGGTGGCTTGCAGGTGGCTTCCAGTTCGCTGGGACTCCCCACCCCCACCCTCCCCCCAGACCATGCCAAACCAGTCCCGTTTTCCTCATCCTAGAGATGACAGTCATTAATGCTTTTTTTTCTGAAATCCCATTTTAGCTGTTTCCTCTTTGGATACCTCTTTCCCTTATTCTATTGAGAGAATGTAAAATATGGTTTCTTTTTTCAGAGACGTTAGTGGGATTTCCTCTCGTGCAGCACAACCTCCAGTCAGAATCTGGGTGGAAAGGGCTGCTGGAGATCTGGGTGTTCCCCTGAGACAGGAGAGAGAGGGAGATTGAGATCCCCAACCAGTAGCTTCTGAGCGAAGTATATTCTCTCTATCTTACTGGCCAAAAAAGGAGGTCAAGCAGTTAAAAGTCAGGAGAGGAGGCAAGAATGTGGCCTTTTTTTTCCTTTTCCTTTTTTAATCACCAAATATTCTTTCTTACCACTTTGCTGATACTTAATGTTTGCTTTTGCTATCCCCAACGTTTTTCACACAGTTGATCAAATTTCCTTCACTGAATCATTCCAACAATGTCTGGGTGGATCTCCTGGCTCATCTTATAAACGTGTAACCTAAGCTTCCAGAGTGGGTTGGCCTCGCCCATTTCTCAGTTCTCTGTGGGGAGATGCACAGTGACGAGGCCGTGAATTCATGTCCCGCGGTGACACCAGTGTTAACGTGGGTAGTGACAGCAATCTGTGTCTGCCTTGCGGCAACACTGAATTTTGGTTGCTGCTTAGTCTTCCCCAGAGCTTAAGGCATATTTCGGGAGTGGGGGTGGGTGACAGTAAGGGTTCTTTTGCAAAAAGAATTGCAGCTTTCTTAAAACAACAACAAAAAAGCAAGAGAAATCAGATATCTAATTATCATGTCCTTCCCCAAGGAAAAAACTAAACATAACCAGACTAAAATATCAAAGACGGCAAAGATCTGAGAATCCCGGCATCCCTGAACTAGTTCAGGGTCAATGGCTTATTGCTACAGATGTTGAGGAAGTTTTGCCAAAAATAATGACAGTGGGAAGCAGAATGGGTCTTTTAAAAGTTCTTATATAAATTCCAGTTAGGTAACATACAGTGTAATATTAGCTTCAGGTGTGCACTAGAGTGATTCAACACTTCCATACATTAGCTGGTGCTCATCACAACAAGTGAACTCCTTAATCCCCATCACCTGTTTCATCCATCCCCGCCCCCCCCCCCCCGCCCACCCCTCTGGTGACCATCAATTTGTTCTCTATATGTAAGAGTCTGTTTCTCGGTTTGTCTCTCTCTCTCTTTTTTTCCTTTGCTCATTTGTTTCTTAAATTGCACATATGGGTGAAATCCTATGGTATTTGTCTTTCTCTGACTCATTTCGCTTAGCATAATCCTCTCTAGCTCCATCCACATCACTGCAAATGGCAAGATATCATTCTTTTTGATGGCTGAATAATACTCCATTACGTGTATATATCACATATTTATCCATTCAGCAATCAGTGGACACTTGGGCTGCTTCCATCATTTGGCTATTATAGATTCTGCTGCTGTAAGCATTGGTGTGCATGTATCACTTTGAAAATTAGCGTTTTTGTATCCTTTGGGTAAATACCAAGTAGTGCAATTGCTGGGTCTTAGGGTAGTTCTATTTTTAACCTTTTGAGGAACCTCCATACCGTTTTCCAGAGTGGCTGCATCAGTTTGCTTTCCCACCAGTGGTGCAAGAAGGTTCCCCCTTCTCCACATGCTCGCGAACACCTGTTGGGGAACCAGAATGTTTACGAACCAGTTGATGTGATGTCTGAGACACACTTTAAAGTAATTCATTTGTGGAGGAGAGAGTAGAAATGGAGGGGGTTATGAATGAAATGAAATTGGCCACCAGTTGTTTTTTTGAAGTCGGATGTAAGGTACAGAGATGTACATTGTAATTCTCTCTACTTGGGGGTGTGTTTGAAATTTTTCTTAATATAAAGTTAGCAAACGGTATAGGCGGGACGAAATTATAGGAAATCAACAAAGGCAAGTTCACATAACACGAAGTACAGTATTTTACCACAAAGGCAAACTAGAAACTCATAACCAAATTATGGTAAAGATGCAGTAAATCAACCATCAGAATTAAAAATAAAAGCAATCCTAGATTACACCTGGGCCAAAAAGGACATAAAAAGTACAAAATGCAATTGCCTAAATAAGTATTTATGAAAATGACAACAGAACGTATCAAAACGTGAAATTTGACGAAGTTTGTAGGTAAAGGGGGAAATAATAGCCTCAAAATGCTTTTATTACTTGTGAAAAAGGATTGAAAATCTATGAAGCATCCTGTTAAATGAATTAGAAGAATAGCAGAGCATAAATAGAAATAAAGAATAAAGGGAGCATTAAGAATCTAAAATGCAAATAAGTGTATTTAAACAGATAACAGAATCTAGAAAACAGAAAGAAAGGCAGAAAACGGGAAATCCCTGGGGACTATAAAGTTACAGTTCAGACTGAGGATGTAACTCACTGCTCAACTGGGTGACTTATAGAAACATATCAATTGCCAAAATCAAGGCAAGGTATTTACAAGAAACCAATTACCATGAAAGAAACTGAAAAGATATGTTTGAAAAATCTTGTTTCTTTCCTATCCTTACCCTCAAAAGCATCAGTGTAAGATGGCTTTGTAGGTAATGCCTACCAAATTTAAGGAACAGAAAATTATTTTGCCGGGCACCTGGGTGACTCAGTCTGTTAAGCATCTGACTTGATTTCGGCTCAGGTCGTGATCTCAGAGTTGTGAGATTGAGCCTCCTGTCAGGCTCTGTACTCAGCGGGGAGTTTGCTTCTCTCTCTCTCTGCACCCCCCCCCCCCCCGCTCGCATGCTCTCTCTCTCTCTCAAGTAAGTAAATGTAAAAAATCTTTTAATTTGCGGGGCGCCTGGGTGGCTCAGTCGTTAAGCGTCTGCCTTCGGCTCAGGTCATGATCCCAGGGTCCTGGGATCGAGCCCCGCATCGGGCTCCCTGCTCAGCGGGAAGCCTGCTTCTCTCTCTCCCACTCCCCCTGCTTGTGTTCCCTCTCTCGCTGTGTCTCTCTCTGTCAAATAAATAAATAAAATCTTTAAATAAATAAATAAATAAATAAAAATTAAAAAAAATTAATTTGCTACTTAACTTCTCTAGGATAGAGAAAAATGTGAAACCTCTCTCAACTCGTTTTATTGGTGGATTAATTCACATTCTAGCAATCGATTAAGCTATTGATCACAAGAAAAACTATAGGAACATCCTATTAACGAATATGAATGAAAAATCCAGAACAAAATAATGGTGAACCAAATCCAGGACGATATTAGAAGAACAATCCATCAGAGTCCAACGGAAACAGCTTGTATTCCAGGAATAAAAGTCAGTCCACTATCAGAACATTTAGAAGTTTGATTTCCTCTCACAATGGATCAGAGGACAAATTTGGTGTAGTTATTGAAATAAATCCCCAGCTACATTTATTCTACTATTGATTGGAGCCATAGCTATTTCTTACAAAACTTGGGATTAAAAAGACAGTGCCATAATATCAAATAGTGGGTGTAATGGTAGTACCTTTAAATTGGAAGAATAAATAGGTTTTATCTCTCCTGCTCATCCTTTTTGACTGGCCCTGAGACTCCCCAGTTCTCAGTAGGGTACTGTTCGCTTGACCTAGTGGGAACATCTGCTCCATCAAGACTCCAGTGGCATATTTTTCTTTTGACAGGGCAAAGTGATCCTAACCTTCATCAGGAAAAATAAGCAGAGAGAATCAAGAACGTTTTGAACAGCAAAGAGCTAGAATTCACTTTGTTGTGGGAAAAATACGATGATAACAACAGTTGAGCCCATGTCTAGACGAACCACAGTCTGTAGACTGTTGTAGTGACGGCGTTTCAAGTTATTCAATAAAAGATGGATTGTTTAATAAGTCTTGTTTGTTACAGGAAAATTCAGAAACTCTAAATTTAGAGAAGTAACGTTGTGTACCAGGCAGTGACATTATGTTAAATAGAAGTGCTTTGTTTGTAAGAAAACTGCAGAATGGGCTCGGGGTATTTTAATACCATTTCCTAGTAGTATGATCATGTTTATTACGATAGTCTAATTTACCTAAAGGATTTGATGAAGGTGATTTTCTGACAGCATTGTGGGTTACTGGTAAAAATAGATAAAAAATGACATAGCACTTACTCTGTGCCCCGCACTTTCCTGAAGTATTGAAGGATATTCTCTTAACTTGCTTAACTGTCGCAACAACCGTATGAGGTGGATATTACTATTTCCTATTAAATACGCAAGGAAGGAAGGGCGCTTGGGTGGCTCAGTGGGCTAGGAATCTACCTTCGGCTCAGGTCATGATCCCAGGGTCCTGGGATCGAGCCCCGCATCGGGCTCCCTGCTCAGCGGGAAGCCTGCTTCTCCCTCTCTCACTCCCCCTGCTTGTGTTCCCTCTCTCGCTGTGTCTCTCTCCGTCAAATAAATAAGTAAATAAATCGTAAATAAATAAATGCACGAGGATTGGGTGCTCAGTTGGTTGAGCGTCTGCCTTGGGCTCAGGTCATGATCCCGGGGTCCTGGGATCCAGCCTTACATCGGGCTCCCTGCTCAGTGGGGAGTCTGCTTCTCCCTCTCTTCTCGGCTGGTGCCCTCTCTCGCTATCTCTCTCTCTCAAATAAATAAATAAAATCCTAAAAAATAAAAATAAATAAATACACTAGGGACCCGAGAAGCTTGTACAACTTCTCCATCTAGGAAGTGGGAGGGTGGGCACCAGCAGTTCAAGCACCCTCCCCTATCCAGAGTCTAGAGGACGCCCCCCTCCTTGGCAATGAGCTCTCCCTGTACAGCAGGGAAAGTCGCTCCCTTTTCAGGCTCTAACAAGCCCTTTTGCTTTCCTCAGGGACCTGATGCCGAGGACCCTGGAGGGGCAGATCACCATGGAGAAGACACCCAGTTACTTCGTCACCCGCGAAGCGCCCGCGCGCATCTCGGCCATGTCCAAGGACACCAAGCTCATCGTGGTGGTGCGGGACCCGGTGACCCGAGCCATCTCGGACTACACGCAGACGCTGTCCAAGCGGCCCGACATCCCCACCTTCGAGAGCTTGACGTTCAAGAACCGCACGACGGGCCTCATCGACACGTCGTGGAGCGCCATCCAGATCGGCATCTACGCCAAGCACCTGGAGCACTGGCTGCATCACTTCCCCATCGGCCAGATGCTCTTCGTGAGCGGGGAGCGGCTCATCAGCGACCCGGCCGGCGAGCTGGGCCGCGTGCAGGACTTCCTGGGCCTCAAGAGGATCATCACCGACAAGCACTTCTACTTCAACAAGACCAAGGGCTTCCCCTGCCTCAAGAAGGCCGAGGGCAGCAGCAAGCCCCACTGCCTGGGCAAGACCAAGGGCAGGACCCACCCCGCGATCGACCGCGAGGTGGTGCGCAGGCTGCGCGAATTCTATCGGCCGTTCAACTTGAAGTTCTACCAGATGACCGGCCAGGACTTCGGCTGGGATGGATGACCATATAATTTAAAAAGAAAAAAAAAAAAAATCAGAATATAATATATTTTTTTACCAATCGGTAGAGAAAAGGCAGTTTAATATTTGTGCTGAAGATGTTTGTTTCAGTATTTTTTTTTTTTTTTTGCAATGAATGTTAAGAGTGTGTTCTCACCTCCTCCCCCATCTGCTTGTGTCACTGGCCCGAACATTTGGATAAACAAAAAAGGAAAACCTCACTCACCGAAATACTTGGCAATTTTCGATTTCTGTTTTATGTTTTATATGCACAGTTATAAACTCTGAGCATCGGTCACCATGAAAACTTTCAAGGAAGTCCTGAGGGTAAATCAGTCTCTCTGTTTCTGTCTCTGCCTCTCTCTTTCTGTCTCTCTTTTCACAGGTCCCAGATAAAACGCTCTCTCCTTACATTTCCTTCTTTTTTTTTTTCCCGTGCCACTTCTTCAAAACTATTTCGCAATTAATAATACTCTAGGTTTGCCCACGATTATTCACAGTTAACCAACAGTGCTTTCAAATAAAACACCTTTTCCCATCTTTGTGTGATGTGATAGAAGGTAGCACATAGAGATTAAGATCCCCATTTTAGAATAAAGAAACTGAGTCTCAGGGAGGTTGGGCAAAAACCCCGTCTTCCACTTGTTCCCTTTTTCATGCCCCTTCTTCCAGAGAGAATGAGAAGTAAGACAGCTGTACTTTTAGAAACAGTTGGCTAGTTTGGGGATGTTCGGAGATAGGACAGAGAGGGTTTCCTATTCATTGTCTTCAAAAATTCGAGGCCAGCCTTGTGACACTCGGTCATGAGGAGTCACCAGTGTTCAAGGACCCACCACTCAGACCTGGGCACAATATCTTTTAAGAGCCAATCTTGGCTCGTTGAAATGGCCTGAGCTATGGAACTCTCAGCTTAGTTGAGGTTGAGAGAAATTGCTGGATTCTTATCTGGAGAACGAGATGGACAATCACACTAGGAACAGGACAAAAAGTAGTAGGATAACTTACTTAGTTGTGGTTTTGACTTTTTTTTTTTTTTTTAAAGAAAAACCCACTTCAGTAAGAGCTTACAAGTAGGAATCTCATTTTTCTTTAGCTCTCTTTTAACAAAGAAAATCCACTTCTCTTTTTAATACCTCATTTCTAATCCTGGAGCCAATACTAAAAAGATGAATAAATGTCATTTTTTTTCATGGGTTGGAGGACTATCACTTTGTCACTTTATTTTCCCCACTTCCTGTTTGTACCAAGAATAACGGCATATTCATTAATATTTGGAAAATATTCTAAGAAATACAGATGTGGGTAAAATGGAGGTTTTTCTTCTCCCATCTAGTTCTCTCATCCCCCATTTAAATAGCTCAAATAAATCAATAGTTTACTAAAGAGTATTCCTTTCCTCTCTGAGTGGGCATTAACAAGCTTAGCATTAATGGGAATTAAATTGGCTTAGAGAGAAGCATATGTGCACGAAATATATAAAACATTTATAATTAGTCTGTCAGCAACATTTTATTACAGGTTTAAACCCAAGAGGAAAATGTCTCCTATCTCCTGGAACTTTTCCATATCTGCCAAAAATTTAAAGGAGCAGACACTACGGTATTCTTAAATAATTATTCTTTATTTCTCCAGTGTTGTCCAAAGAGACTAAAGTTGCTGGAAAATATGCAGAGTGCAAATGTGCATCAACCCTAAATGCTGCATCAGGTGAAGTAAGTCTTTCCTGAGAGGCCTAACACAGGATTAAAATGCAGGGAAAAAATTATTTAAGTTTCTAGATATTCCAACATTGCTCCAAACCTTTGAATTTCAACAGCCGCTCCTATGAATATCCCGTTTATGAGAGTTAAAAAGAAAAAAAAAATCCCAGGTCTCCTTTGCCCAGTTGATTTTAAGGTGCCCTTAATTTTCCAACTCAACACCCTGTTTTCACTGTACTTAAATCATCACTTTTAGAAACAAGATACTCATCTTAAACTCTTTGCATCTTTTCTCTTAACTCGTTTCGTTTGTGCCTCTGATCCTTTTCTAAGCATTTGCTTGGCAATAAGCAAACATAGCTTGCACAAGGAAAGGAGTGCATCTGACACTTGTATTGGGCAATCTTCCTCTTTCTGTGTTAAGAAATAATAAAAACGGAATTGAGTTCAAAGCACCTCTTCTATTGTAGATTTTTTTTTGAAATTCATATTATTTAAATAATGAATGACTCTAGAGCCTTCCAGCAAAACTGTCTAACCTCTAAAAGTTCGTAAGAGTGTCAGAAGTTCTAGATCCCAGCAAAACATCTAAAGATCTAGGGTCCATATACTCGAAGTTTCTTCCAGAACAGGAATTGTACTTACTCCTGCTATTTGTGGCTTCAGATTTCCTTTGTCCATTTAGCTGTACCAATTAATAGGTTTTGTTCTTGATTTGAACATCTTAGCCATGCTTCCTCTGAGCCGTCTGCTCCCTGGCCATGCCTACTGACCACCTACACTCTTCTTAGAGGTAGGGCATTCTCTCTCTAGAAGAGCAACTAGAGGTCTGGAGCTTTATCCTGAACAGTTTGCTCGTGAGGCCCTGTCTATGGTGTAAAGTTCTGTAGGTAAGTAACTTTTAGGGGAAATTCATTTATTCTAATGACTGGAGCTTGATAAGCTGCTAGAGAATGGATATTTATTACTCAAGGAGTATGACTCCCACTGTACTTTTCCTGATTTCAAAGATCTTCAAAGTCGGAATAAACCTAACAGATCAAATCGCCATTTGGCCCTTAAATCCTTCCTTTAACTAGTTGCACAGGGGGGTTCAAACATGAACGTGTCTGGGAATTTCTCACTCTTGATTTTTCTGTTGTTGTAAAGAGGATCAGTATCTCTTCAACACCTTCATCCGGTTCTGCGGGCTGAGATCCACCAAATCTGTTACGCGTGAAGATACTTACAATTCAACGTGTGAATACATAAAGGTCCGTATATAATAATGGTACATTACATTCACCTAGCAGGTTACCTTTTCATTGTCCCTTAAACCAACAGCCGCTCTCCACTCTCAAAGAGTTTGACTTTCCAGATGAGCAAGTGAACACTTAGGAGAACAGTGGCTCTCCACAAAAGACGACTCTGCTCCCTGGGGGGATCTCTTGGAGATACTTTGGTTGTCCCAAGGCTGGTGGAGTGTAGGGCACTTCTAGTGGGCAGTGTGATGCCCAGGAGAGCCCCCCACAGCAAAGAATCATCCTACCCAAAATGACAGCAGTGCTGAGATTCCTGGTTTAAGAAGAAGTAAAGCATATACCAGCAAGTGCATGTCTGAAACAGGTCTATAAACCAGATTCTAATGAATGCTTGGCTGGGACTTCTTTCCCTCATCGCCCTAAGTCTTTTCTCTTGCAGACCTTTCTTTCTCCCTCTCACTCTGTAAGTCATTCCATCAGAGTAAGCAGATGAGTGTTTAACGTCATGCCTTGCCAAGAGGAGTGCGAACGAGAAACTTCGCTGAATTGGGTTTTTATAGCCGAGATCCACGAGCTGTTTATAACAAATGGATAGTTGCATTTCTGTGAAGTGGAATCCGTCAACTTTGAGTGGGAACATCACATGCCAATAAAACATTTTGGAAGGTGTTTTCAAGTTCAAGTCCTGCAGTTTCAATTTGCCTCCAGGACCGTGCCGTTGAAAGTATTTTTTGTTACCTGACAGAACCATCATGTCAAGAGAGACAAGTAAATGGGTCCCACTTCTGTTAAACAGTAGAATTCAGACAGATGTGTTAGGGCTCGCGAAGGGCCCTGAGCTGTTGAGTCATCACAAAGGAAGGCACGTTCTTTCTGCCGTATATTCTAGAAACCCCAGAATTTGGTGTCTAATTTCCATAGAATCAGGGAAGAGAAGAGCTTAGGATCACCAAACATGGGGAAGTGTGGCTGGGATTCAGTCCAGGAAAATTCTTCTTGTAGAAGTAAAAGACCCTACCTATTCTCCTGGTGTATCCTGTAATCACTGAAGAATGAGCCTTTTCAAACCCAAACCTCAAGCCCTGTTGGGGAAACATCCCATTATAGCCTATCTGGTCTTTGAAACATCTTCAAAGTGCAAACGGGTTTGTGTTCAGTCTCAATTCTATGGATGAAAAAGAGAGAGGGAAATTTATAAACCTGTGTGTCCCATCATGGAATGTTGGAATGGTAGGCCTTCCCTTTAGAGCTTAAAGAAAAGGTGAACGTGGAGATAATCACGAGGCAGTACAACTTTATACAGAGTCATAAAATATCAGATTTTAGCTATGCCAGGAGGAAAGAAAACAAAATAGAAATTACTTCTAATATATGAACCCATTGTGGGATATTAAGAAATGTCAGTATGTCTCAGACTCCGTTTCAGTTCCTTTTAACTGTCCATTGTGTTCCTTTAATAGCTACATGCTCAACAACTTAGTCTCCTTCAGTTTTACCGTCAAAATAAAAGCTAACAAATGGGGAAAGTACTTCCTGCTATGAATCCTTTCCATCCCACAATTCCCGGGTCTGATGTTTTAGGTGCATCTGAAGGATCAGATATGATGAGATATGCTACCCTTTATTAGCCTTGCCTGACTGGGATGTGATCAGGCTGGATTTTTAGCGCGGTGCTAGCTGATGACTCAGAAGAGTCCGTTTAGGGCACCGTCTGGTCCACATATGGACAAACTATAGTCTTAGCTTCACGTCCTTCCCAAAGTCACTTTCTAGTAAGCCCCGAGTTTTTACCACCCCTGGGGATTTGTCTTCATTGCAAACAGGACTGATGTGCCTTTTTCCCTTCCCACCTCCTCTCTGTGCTTCCTACACTTTCTAGTGCCTTCTCTCCATGTCCTGCCTGTGTCCTGTGAGTCCTCATATCTCAGCCTCTACCATCCTGCACCATGCTCAGTGGTGTCCACTTCCTACCTCAGATTCCTGGGGGAAATTGCTCTCAGCTTCAGCACCTCTAGAGAAAGGAGTCAGACTGCTGTGGATACCAGGATGGGTGGAGACCAGATGGATTTAACTTTCCCCAAGAGTGTTTATGTGAGGAAAAAAGGGCCCAAAGGAAGACGGATGAAGCCGAG